CAGAAGAGCAGGAGCTCAGAGAAGGGGGACGGAATCTTGCAACCGCCTTCTTGGTTTCTGTTTTGTTTTGGCGGAGAGTATACAGTTGCCGGAAATCACGTACACGCACTGTAAGCTCTTGGATCGAGATAGCAATCTGAAGTAGTCGCCAGGAAAGACTTGAACTCTCTCAATGGAATTCCTAATCCTGAAATACCTCATACTTGATACTTGCGGCTTTACCATTAAGACTGTCGTGTCCTTGACAACATAATATTTCTCGTACAATTGCATGAGTAGGATACTAGTAGAAACCACAGAGCTGTTGTTTGCCTTGTTTCTGTTCAATTATAATTTAGAAATGAAGCACAGCTGAAAGGTTATGAATGATACTGGGTTGATGATTCATTTTTGTATTAGTTTAACACTCCGCTAGTTACAAAAAGATCCGTTCGAAGGCTGGACGCTCACCCCGGCGTGGTGCTCACGTTATATGCGTTATTCTTCTATAAAAAGATCAATCTGCTACCCCCACTCCTCCCCATCTCACTTCCCTGCTTGACGAAAAGGAGGACGGGGTCAACGACAGATGGGAAAAAACTCTATACACTTCTTAGTCAGGTTTTGAGAGAAATAAAAATCACAAAACTTAAGTTTTTGGGGGGCTTTTTTAAATATATAAATTTTATTTAAACAGGAGGACAAAAGCGTGCAAAGAGGACGTGTTTAGTCGATAACTAATACCTATATCAGTCTTTCCACTATACGTCCTGAGACTCTGCAGCAGAAAAAAGCCCCCCCCCCCAAAAAAAAAAACACCCCAAAAAATAAAACAACAACAACAAATATATATATATGTATATGTATAATATATAGCTTGTTTAATCCTGTTGAACAAATTGTTACTATTGCCTGTAAGAGAGTCCTATGCTATACTTCCAGAACTTAGGGTATTTCAATGAGAGGGGAAGCCTTGGTTTGGGGACCAAAATATTGAATTGAAAGCAAACGTTCAGTTCCTTCAGCTCTCCCTGGTTGTTGAGGATGAAATGGGGGCAGGCTACTGTCGTTGTTTAAATTTAAAGCCTCTTTCAAAACAGTTCATTTACGAGTATTACAGTCCGACATCACATGGAAATAAAAAGAATCAAACCACAATTTGGATATCTTTCTCAGATGCCTGTGAACCAAGCTGCCTTAATAAAAGCTTGCAACACAAGAATACCCGGTTACAGAGCGAGAGTAACATCCAAGGAAAGGCTGATTCAGTGAGCAAATGACTCCCATAAAAGCTTGCGATGTATGTCTCTAGGAAGCTTTCCCGTTTGCCAAGACTCAACGTCTCTACTTTCCCACGACAACACGCCGTATAGTATATGCGGCTGATAAAGTAAAGCATCCAAAAGCAAAGTGGATAGACTCCCCAAGAAACCAAAGTCCAAAAAAGGCTAGCTAAAAAATCGAACTGGGTGACCACTCTCTTTGGCCTGTGATGTACCAGCTGACTGCTGTCGGCATGTCCAGTATGTTGGCGTCCAAATTAAACTTGAAAGTTTAATCACCAAATCATTGTGTTATAACATTGCACTACCTACTCTTGCAGCATACCAATTGATAGTTTGAAGGTGGATTTTGTTATAACAATAGTTCATTTTGTTTTTCATCTTTTCGCTGAAGACTTAATTTATATTTTGACAAATATAATTTCCACTGTCTCCCTGTTCCCCGATTCTTAGCATGTCTTTCGAGACGGAATTGGCGTTATATTTATCTTGTGTTATTTAATTGGTTAGTTTACTTAAAAGTAATGTATAATAAATATATACATATATTGTTTTAGAAAAACAGAACACATTATGCCACACTCCAGAACAGGGCTAAATATTTCTAGCTGGGAAACGTGTGCAATTTGATGAGTGCTTACGTCTACTTAACAAGAATAAGGAGGTGTTGAGAGAGGCAAAAGAAAACAAGGGGAGA